ATTAATTTAAGTCATTATTAGGAAATCATAAAAGTTCTGATAAAACCTAAGTATTATTTCATTTAGAAATTATGAATCTGATAAAAATAATAGTAAATTAGTTCATCAAAAAGTGTAATTTGAAGTATTTATGGATACGAATAAAAAACATTGGAAATATCTATCCAATCTGATCATTAAGTTTTCGGATTTACAACGCTAAAATCAGGAGTTCGATTCTTCTCGGTGGACTCAGCAGATAGCCCGACCGGGCTTTGCTATATGCTACCGAAATAACTAGGTGCTTATATATTGGTAGTTTAAAAATAGTTATTAAGTATTCAGTAATCTCCATAAGTTTTCCCTTTTCTCCCCAGCTCTAAAACAGCCGATCGAGCATGAAGTGGACATTGTTTTTCGTTTGTATAGCTGTTGCTTTGTGCGGGTAAGTTGGTAGTTCAAATATACCTTCCTGGAGTACACATCAACCAAATGACTGAGCTTCAAATTTATCCAAACGTTAAACATAATTATTAAATATTTTCTTGTTTTGTACATGTTATTGGTTAGGTATTTGTAATTTTTTTTTAAGTTTACAAGTTTAAAATGTATTTTCTGAAATCTTTAATCAAATTATAAGTCTCTCCTCATAAAGTGCAGAACTGATCAAATGTTGAGATTTTCCAAACACTATCCAAATTTACAGATCTGTAGAAATATTTCTTTTAGTTATGGGTGGCTTTTCTTCGATAATAGTATCACAATATTAACTAATTAAATCGTCTTTTTAAACCTTTGAGCTCCAGGGCACTTTCTGTTTTATGAGAAAGGTATGTGTAGGTGGACTTACTTGATTTAAGTGTATTAAAAGCAGCTCTTTCCCCCATCCCTACACGTTTCTTTTCAGGGTCAATTCATTTTCACAGCCACAGTGTCCAGATATCTGTGATCCTGAGCGATGCCCTCCATTAGATCCAAACCCTTGTCCTTGTGGAACATACAGGGGGATGTGCGGTTGCTGTGAATTCTGTAATGCCGTAAGTGTGTTTTTTGCTCTCTTATTTCAAAATTTGTATGATTAATCTTACTTTATAACACTTCTAAATGATCTGTTGAAAGTTCAGTATTTTTGTTATATATATGTGTGTGTGTGTATTAATATTTTATACTAGAAACCTAACACACATATATATATAATTTAACCCATATTTTTAGTAATATTAAGACAGATTTAACGTTACGTAATGTCTGTTTTTTGTTTCAGTGGTTTTCCCTCCTCCAATAAGGATTTATTGAGGAAGGAACTGAAATAACTTAACATAGAGTAATTAAATAAAAATGGGAACATTTTATGTTTTTAAATACAGCCTTCACTTCTATATTTAATGCTCTATATGTAACTATTAAGCGAAAATGTTTTTTCTACAGTTTGTTTTTGTTTTAGCACAAGTTACATTGTATGTTGTCGCGAAATGTCCATCACGGGATCAAGCCCCGAATCTTAGCGTCATAACTCGTCAAAGCTTATTGCTGAACCACTTGGGACTCTCTTTTGTAGACAGAATCATATTTTACTTTATAAAGATGTATCACTGGTCGTTTGTAGACAGAATCATATTTTACTTTATAAAGATGTATCACTGGTCGTTTGTAGACAGAATCATATTTTACTTTATAAAGATGTATCACTGGTCGTTTGTAGACAGAATCATATTTTACTTTATAAAGATGTATTACTGGTCGTTTGTAGACAGAATCATATTTTAATTTATAAAGATGTATCACTGGTCGTTTGTAGACAGAATCATATTTTACTTTATAAAGATGTATTACTGGTCGTTTGT